GTTCGAATCCCACCGAGGCTACTGAACTTTTCATAATGTAAACATGAGACTGTCGTCTACCAAACAACAATTTGAACGACGGACCTTGTCTTAGAAATTCATTCAGTGAACTCCGGTGAATTCTAAGGAAAACATTGATGGTAGTCAGCTTCCACGCTAACTGGTGGATACCATATGCCCCTGTAAGATATGAGTGTGTGGTTAATTCAGTGTATCAATTCTTATAGTATAATGACTGTTCCGTATGACTCAATAGCTGTTTTTCGACGTATGAAGTACACATATTTAGGTTTTAGGAAATCAGTGTGGTATCGCCCACAAACTTGCGGTGATCTACAGTGGTGATCGGTAAACGATTATGCTATCTACAAAACTGACTGTTCTTTCTACAAAATACAAAGTGTGCATGCTCTTGTATCACCCTCCGGATAATTTGGACGTGTTTCTATAGATCCTTCAGTATCTGCACCCATTGGTTCAACTTTTCGAGTTGTACATTCGGAGTTGTGGCATGTGAACTTATCCTGAATATTAAGGTATTATCTTCTCAGACTGAAGATTATTACATTATTAATTTAATAATTATTTCGGACATTCTTCAAATTGACCACATTTCAGACTACAAAACGTGTCAAAATCGATCTCCTACATCTTTCTCCCCCTCTCTCTCTCTCTCGCTCTCTCCGAATTTATTGATTCAAATATTGATAGAGTACGGAGGATCGAATTTTGAAATTGCTATTCGAATCGGAGGGCAACATTCTAGACAATGAGGATTTGATCAACACACTCAACGAGTCAAAAGTCAAATCGAGTGAAATTAGCAAACGACTGTCCGAGGCCACGAGCACGGAACAAAAGATTACCAATGCTCGTTCGAAATATAGTCCGGTTGCTATCCGTGGTTCCGTAATGTATTTTGTCATTACCACAATGGCCGAGATTGATTCCATGTATCAGTTCTCTTTGAAATACTTCAAAAGTGTGAGTTGTACAGTTTAGTCGTGTTTGATAATATCAAAACTGTATGTATAATAAATCTTATCATATTGATGATTGTTGTGGCCGAATTTCGTCATGTGTTCATTCATTCTTATTTAACCCACCAAACACAAATCCATACGGATTTTGCATCCTATTAGGGAAAATTATCCTCTCAGTTCACAAACAGGGTACAACGAAACTGACCGAGAAAGCAACGGCGAGTAAAACTATTCATGTTGCAGTAAAACCAGATGAACTAAGTGAATTTTGATTGGTGAAAGTGACCACTTTCACGGGGTTATCATCCCTGAAAGACTAACAAAAATCAACGTGAACAGCATCGTTCCCAATAACAGACAGAGACCCGCGTTCTTGGGGACAAGAAGTAGCTTCTAGTTAGAGACCGCTGAGACAGGTTTATCATATCGGGAAGTCTCCCCAGCGGATATCACAAGAAGTGTTAGGTAGAGCACAACAAAATAAGTTGTGATGCACTAATTAAAACATAAAATTGCGCGAAAGTCTTCACATTAGTTGTATTGGTCATTACTTGAAATAGTGTGAGAGCGTCATTCTGCTTGAGGATCTCAATACATCTTAAAAAACATGTGATTGTCCTTTTGGTCAACATCCACCCACCTATTCGTTGATTGACTATTTCTCTCCTTGGCTGATTTGCCATGAAATATGCATACACCTGGAGAGCAAATGTACCCAGAATACTCTCTCTCTCTCGATCGGGTTTGGATCTATACCTTTTCAACTTCAAGTGAATCCGCCGTAAAATTTTCACATGCTTGTAGATGTTCATCTATGATAGAGTCCGCGAGTTTATCCCTGACGATACCACTGCATGTGTTCCAGAGATCTCGTCCACATATAAAAGCCTTTCTTAGACTTACCGGGAAAAATCACTGGGGAGCAATATAACCAATGGGGTAGCACACATGCATTCACAAATCCAACAATCAGCGTATGGGGAACAGAAAGTATTCCCAATCAGAGTGAGAAATATGAAAGCTTTCTAAACTTACAGAATGTGTTTTGAACATGCAATGACCATGATAAATTGTGTGATAGTGAGACGCCAAGGTATTTTACTATTGTTGATTTCGGTACGGGTTCATGATTGGTAGAGAGGGTTGGAAACCTATTTATTTGAAGGCTGAATATGGTACATCGGCCTAGAGGGAAAACACACCATCCTGACATTTCGAGGTATTCAATGAAAGGGAACGGCACAAGGACCAAATAACAACGTTGGTTAGCTTGCTTTGAATTTATAAAGCCTCTTCAGGAGTGGATGCTTTGCAAACTAAAACAACGTCACCTGCACACTTACAACCAATGAATGTAGAAAGAATGGAAAATTGTTTGACATACATTGAAAAGAAAAAAAACGGGGAAAATTGCACCTCGCATAACACCAGAGGTAACCGGGCATGTGAAAAACTTATGGCTATTTAAGCATGTGAGATGCCGCCTATTCAAAAAGTAATTTGACAAAGCAATCGGACAACGTTTGGATTACTATCCATTTCGGTAATCAGGCTGAGCAATACCGATCGATCAAGACTACTGAATACGTCTTTGTAGTCTAAGAACACCATTCTGACAGTCTGATACTACCTATCCGGTGCTGAAAGTATTTAATGAACAAGGTTAACGGCAACAAGTGCTGAGCGCGAAGAACGATATGCAAATTGATGTATGTCGTCTTCGGCAGACTCAGTGACAAATCACGGTAACAAGTATCTCTCAACTAATTTGAGCATGAGTGACGTGCAGGCTATCGGACGATATTTCCCAGGTTCTTTTTTGGGGGGACGGGAGTAATCTTGATCAGTCTCCAAATGACAGGAATTTCTCCTCTTAAAAGACAATCATTAAATGTTAGATAGCGGAACTGAAAGAGTGTCCGCAGATGCCTTGAGTACCATGGGTAATAGTTCATCCGAACCAGGTGCTACGACAACTGAAGTTTCCCCGGTTAGTATCCATGTGTAATTTATTTAAACCATTAATTTCAGATTTGATCAAAACTGTAAGCCGCTTGACGTAAGTTCTCTGTTCATGCTTACAGGCCTGTTCTTTCCACCTGCGTAGCTTTAGCATCTGCGATTATTATCAATCATTCTGGATGAAGAGCCTTCGAGGTGGCAACGTCGTTTAAAGCAAAAATGAAGGTAGACAGAAACATGTTCACAGAGGACAGGATGGTTCTGATATGGAAACATCGAAAAATCTGTGATGACAATCAAGGATTTTAGTCTTTCTAGGTTCTTTGATGAACAATTTTTTAAGCATTTTCTGAGATGGTCTTCTTGCTGTATGCAGTTGGATACACTTTTAAGATACAGTGATCAGGGCTACTCAGATGAGCACTTTTGTGAACTTTAAACACTTGCAGTCTATTTTTAAAAACAAAATCTAGTTACGCGTTGAGCCTGGTAGGAAAATGTAGCAAATTTTCTAGACCCAGTGTACTGAGGAAAGTTATATCCTGTCTATTAAAATAATCAACGAATATACACAAATAATTACTTAATATTTCTATTATGGAGGTAGAAAAATAACAGAAAACCTATTGATGCCGGAGGTTGATGTTGTAGGTGCCAGGTAAATGTTTCCAAAAAGTATGAAACGAAACGCATTCAAAAAATGTGGCTTACATTCAATGACGGGGCAATTGATCTCATCCATTGAGTATTCGTAGAGCACGGCGGTCAGTTTACTCCAGTTGTTGTTACGTAACTTGCAACACCCTTGTCTCATTTACGGACACTTGCGGGACGGTCAACCCAATACAAAGTATATCCATCCTGGTGTACAATTTTACTGGAGATTTCTTCATGCGGCCACGATTCTTGTGGCATAATAATCCCAAGGTTTTTGTACTCTTTTTTCGTACGATGTCTGCTACCTCATCGACTTTTTCCAATGTTGCCTGTTAAGAGGACAGGAATTTGCATTTTTCTGGTACTGCGCTGACTGAAATCGACCGATTTTTGTCTACCACCGTGTGTTTCGATAGTCCGATTGAATTTATTTCTCACTTTGTTGGGATAATTCACAAAATGTGCAATTTGCCTGATAGCGCACAACGATTTTATGCACGTGCTCGTGTAAGGTAGCACTGGTGTCCTTGAAATTGATCAGAATGCGATGGATGATGAATAAATACACGATCACGGTCGAATTTAAGCGCGGTGTGAATTCATTGGACAAGATGAAGCGATGATGAAACGACGAAGCATTAACACGTTCGATTCACGTTGTCTTATCACTCTCACTCGTGACCTAACACAGCAACACTCTCCTCTGTGTGCGTGATCTGATTGGATAATTGCCCGTGATTTGCACAGATTGCTAGCCCTCAGACTGACACGGGACTACGGGGTGGGGAGACGGAGGAGGACAGTGAGTGATACCTACCAGCGGGCAGCGCGGGGCTAGCCACCAATTCGGTCGGGCTTGTGACGTCGAATGGTAGCC